GTGGGTGGATGGATGGGTGGGTGGATGGACGGATGGAAGGATGGATGAATGGGTAGACGGATGGTGGTTGGATGGATGGATGGAATGGTGGGTAGATGGAATCGTGGCTGAGTGGGTGGATGGATGGGTGGGTGGATGGACGGATGGAAGGATGGATAGATGGATGAGTGGATGGACACATGGTGGTTGGATGGATGGATGGATAGATGAATGGATGGATGAATGGGTGGGTGGGTAGGTAGATGGATGAATAGATGGATGTGCTGCCTTGGTGGTTTAGAAATCTCTAGAAGCTGTGGATACAAAAATCTGAGATGAGATAGGGCAGCTAAAGTATCTCCTTGGCACCTAGGAAATCAACTCTGAAGAGAGTCTGTTGCCATTCCCCTCACAGGTCAGTCCTGGGTGGTTCAGAGTGGGTAGCAACTCTTTCACCAACCATGTCCACTTGGACTTTATGCTTTGAAAGGTATTTCCACTTTTGGTCTGTATTTTTAATCTTTACTGTCATCGTCATCATCCAATCCTAATAATCTTCCACTGTTTTCTTGTAAATTCACCTGGCAACCATGGCACTAAACATATTACATACACTATGTCATTGGACCTTTATAACAACCTTACACAATGGATATTATTATCATTCCCATTTTACAGATGGAAAAACAGATTAACTGAGCTTTCCTGGCAGAAACCTCAGGTCAGTGGTGCCAAAGGTGGTTTCTCGTTTTTCTTAAAGCCTCAAGCAACAGGACACAGCTAACCATGGCTTCCCCTTAGGATGAGATCAGTAACAGCTATTCGGTTTTAGACGTACGAAGAGTTTAGAGTCAAAATGTCCTACTTTGAGGCAATGTCACCTTCCTCTCCCCCAAAGAGTTACCAGACTTCAAAAGGATAATAGATAATAGAAACCCCAAGTAATTTTGACCTGGCTTTGTCTTTTCCGTTTAGAGTTTTATGTCAGTAGGAAAGATATACGCTGTGGCAGATGCTGTGGGTACCCCACCTGCATCCTTTTGGGTTCCTTTATCATTTCTGTGCACGCCAGCCTAACTTCCAACAGCCAACATCTTTGCCAGAAGACACCCTTAGCCTGCTCAGAGGTTTAATATTAAAATACACAGAGAGGCACAGGAGCTTTAGATTTGCCCTCGACCTTCTTCCTCTCTAGGGATTTGACAGTTCTCTTTAACAGAATGGTCTCAACACCCAGTCATAGACTCAACTTTGACTCCCCCAATTAGTCTAGCTCAGTGGTTCTCAAAGTGGAGTCCTGAGACCAGTCACATCGGCACCATCCAGGAACTTTTCAGAAATGCCAATTTCTGGGACCCCCCCCCCGACCCCGGATTGATGGATCTGAGACTCCAGAGCTGAAATGCAGTTAACATGTTTGGAACAAGCCCTCCACCTGAGCGTGATATGTGCTCATGTGTGAGAACCACTGGTCTAATTGATTGTTTTGGAATGTCTATGCACATTTGCCCAATTATTTTTTTGTCTTCAGTCTTTTGGGCCCTAATAGGGCACTGAATTCCTCTCTCATATGGAAAGGGTAGCCCTGAGGCCTCCAGGAGTGCAGGGATGAAGCGGAGCAGGGGGTGGGGGGTGGGGGGGAATGCAGGCAGCATGGAACAATGCCAGATCACATGGTAAGAACATTAGTCCGTCTCCAAATCTCCTCTCTGACTGCATCGGGGAACTCTCTGGTGCTAACACATCTTTATATCTCTCTACCACATGCTAAGCCCAGTCCCAGATTTGGACAGGCGACAGTATCCACAGGAAATGTAATACATTTATTTTTCCGGGGCGCCTGCGTGGCTCAGTCAGTTAAGAGTCCGACTTCGGCTCAGAGGTCATGATCTCGTGGTCTGTGAGTTCGAGCCCCGCATCAGGCTCTGTGCTGACAGCTCAGAGCCTGGAGCCTGCTTCGGATTCTGTGTATGTCTCTCTCTCTGCCCCTCCCCTGCTTGTGCTCTGTCTCTCTCTCTCTTTCTCTCTCAAAAATAAATAAACATTAAAAAAATAAATAAATTTATTTTTCCATTTTTCCA